CGTGATACTCAACTAAAATTAATTTCATCCATACTCAATCATGATCAAAGAATAATTATTTATTCATATCTGCAAAATAAAGAGTATCAATACTAAATTATTTCGCTTGTTGTTTTTACCAGTTAAGAACTAGTAAATCTTTTTTTATGTCTAAAAGCTTTCTTCAAATGAGAGAAAGATCTATGAATAATATACAATTCTAACTTCTTTAAAATGTCATTCTTCACAAAGACTAACAAGTTCTAATTCATCGTTGTCTATTTATCAACATCAATGTTGATTTGAATCGATTTCAAATCCATAAAAAAAAGAACTTATTTTTTTCAATTATCTATTCTTTCTCATTATTCTCAGCGACTGATGCAATGAGACAATTATTTTCAACATGGGTTTATCAATCTGATCATCATTGAAGACATTATTGTCATTTTGATCAAATATTTTGCACCACAAGAATTTATTTTACATGTACGTAAAATCGATGTAACTGAAACACCTTAGTTCACTTTTCTCAGACAAATTCCCGGGGTGTCACCGACATTTTTGAGAAATACCCGGCGAGTTAAAAAAACAAAAAATAAAGTTTGTGACGAAATATTTTTTGAAATATCCAAGAAATCGAGAAAAAAAGCGAAAAACATTTGGTGGAATTTTTCAGGGACTTCTCAAAATGTCAGTGACTCCCAGGGGGACTTGTCTGAAGAAAGTGGACCAGGGTAGTGAACTGCGTTTACCATAAAACAAAAAAGTTTATGTTTATGGCTTGTTTCTGACGAGATCGATCGCTTTTACTATAACAACTATGAGAGTCATCCTATCAGGGAAAAATCATGATCTCAACCAATACAAGTTAAAACAAGTTGTGATTTTTCTTACATGTAATCGTACTCATGTGCAAGATCATGTGACATTATCAGCACAGAAAAAAATCTTAGAAAAGAAGAGCTATTGATTTCAGAAAATATTAACGTTATGCTAAATGTCAATTATTGTGCTACTTCTTAGAATTACAAGATATGTTGTGGAAGATTTCAGTATATTGAGTATTTATGTCACAATACAATTTTGAATGCTTGATAGTTGTAGTTTACTACGGTAATATATCCATTTATCCTTAGATTCTAATATTCATAAAGTGTTGTATTTTGCGGGATAAATATAAAGAGTAATCTCTTTCATATACGAATGATGAAAAGTGTGTCATGAAAATAAATGAATACCGATGAAAAGAACGAATTTATACCACGTGTTTGACAATCTTGATGTCAATTTGAGCAAATGTAACAACATTATTCACAGTCAATCTCATTTACAATCAACTATGCACTCCTATTTTTTAAAGAATGTTAAACTATGCTCGGCAAGCATTTGAATATATAGACAATCATTCAAGTTCTTTTGTGAAACACAATCTCAAAACGAGTGTTGAAATATATAGGGTTGAAATTTCGACCTATCTTCTTCCTCGCTAGACTGTGACAGACATTTGGAGACTCTGTCATCTGCTGTGCATAAAGCTCTTTATACACGATCAAATAACACAGATAACAAATCCCTAATCATAGCATATGCATTACATTCTGATTCGTGCTCTACAGTAATAAGAAAAACGATGATTTATAAATGTGTTGCAAAATAGATGAATTAAAGCAAGCTCTTGGTGAATATCAAGAACAGTTACGTTGTGTTTCACATTTTAATCCCACAAAGATTGTATTAACAGCTTTTTTATTTGTCAAAAAAGTTTGCTTCGCACTTTTCCTTATGTTGCATGTAATAATAACGACTGTTGTGAATTCTTCCTATTCATCTGCTGCAGTTGATGCAGAAATAACTTTTGCTTTCAACATTTTTTCTTCGATCATCACTTTCAAAATAGTGTATATAGTTTAGTCTAAAAGTAATTGTTTTATGAAATACAATGTTTCATTTTTTTCTCTTTTTCACTCGATAGATAACGCTAACGATACACCTTGTTGATATCATCAGAGACTAAGAAAAAATGAATATACTATCGTAGTAAATTACAATTATCAAGCATTGAAAATTACATTGCGATATAAATAATCAATATATTAAAACTTTTAACAACACATCTTGGAATTTTAAGAAGTAGCATAAAAATTGACATTTAGTACGTCGTTTATATTTTCTGAATCCATTAGCTTTATTTTTCTAAGGTTTTTTTTTGTGCTGATAACGTCACATGATTTTGTACATGAGTACGATTATATATAAGAAACATCACAACTTGTTTTAACTGTATTACTTGAGATCGTGATTTTCCCCCTGATAAAATGACTCTTGTAGCTGTGATGTTGTTCATATTCGTCCATTGAATAATCTATCCATATGCGAATTTGATTGTCAACAAATGAATGCAGATCACAACTACCAGCATAAACATAACAATTATTTACTTCGGATACATTCATTATTGATACATATTGGTTAGAACAACAACATGTACGTGATACTAATACACATTTTGAATCACCATCAGCATTTCATGATCATTCAAGCACAATCCAAGTGTAATTCTTTATTTTTAAACTATGAAATATAATTAATTTTGCTTTTTAGTTATCAAGTCGGATTGGAACAATCAATGAAACATGTTTCATAAGCACTCTCAACTACAAATATTTCTTCAGTAAATCATTTTTAAACATTTCTTTTATAGTTTTCATTATACGAAAAAAAAATTTTTGTCTGTAAAATATACCACAAGTACGACGTGGTCTATTATCATTAGATAATACTTTACTTCAACAATCTGAATCATCAAATTCAATAACAGTAAATGTAATAAGATTAGAAAAAATATTTAAAACTAAATATACAACTATTCCTCCATCGAATTAAATCAAAAACTTTATTTTTTTTTTGTTTTTAGAAACAAATCTTGAGTTTCTTTTATATAACAGTGATGTTATAACAATTAAGACTCCATTTGAAGTTCAGATAGTTACAATGTTTTCATTTAATTAATTCAAATAACAAAAGTTATTATTGTAGATCTAGTCTAGAGTTCTTGTTCTGTTTTTTTTCTCTTGTAACGATATAAAATAAAATAATTTGGATATGAATTAATTTCTTGTTTATTTAAATGAAAAACAAAATTTATCATTTTAATATTATTTTAAAGAGGTGAGTGGATAATATCGGCGATTAAGTTCGACTTTAAGAGCACAGCTTTACAGACCAAGCGATTAAAAAAATCAACGCTTAGTCTGCGAAACAGTGATCTCATGTCGCACATTTAATTTATCACACCCACGATATTTAGGCTGATCATATCAAATATTTATTTGATATAAGTTGCAAAACACTATTCGGTGATTATATTTTCTGTATCGATTTAAATCAAGATTTGAATCGTTAACTTCGATAACACGTGGTCTAACCGTTGATTTCTCTTCGTATAGATGATATAACGACCAAATGAAAATTTCTATTGAAAATTGTATATTTGTTAGATATGATTATTGACTCAATTCTAGTTATAAAAATAAGAATTACTGTTACAAAATGACTTTCGAAACAATTCATAAGTCTACAAAGCCATATACTTTGCACAAATAAACATTAAGTTATTTTATCTTACATGTTGTTTGTAATAACGATGAAATGCATAAAAATGAAATACTCAAAACAATTGTATTGTTCCTTTTCTTTGTGTAAGATTAAGCGAACTCATTGATTTACTATTGTTTATGTTAAAGAAGTGTTTCTCATTAATGTTGTGCATTTAAAATCAATCATAAACATTATTATCAAACAACCATTGTTCATTACTTCATTTAGCTTGATTTTTTTTCATCATTAAACTCTCTTTCACTATAAATTCTTGGGAAAATCGTTGATTAGCTGTCAGGAAGTGATGTTCTAAATAAGCCTTGCGTAAGAATATTTCTTTCAAGATGATTCCTGTGACATTCTTTTTTAAAAACAAGACGATTACTATCCCACGCTTCGTTGTTATATCTATCATTGTCTTAAGATTGATAGAGAACGAAGTTCATATTCTTTCATATTGCTATGATTAGTTACTGTCTTGAGTTAGATTTGTTATTCTATTAATCAATATCTTTGGTGCGCAGGTCAATGATTCCGAGCTCTAAAAAAAATCGGAGTTCACTGAAATCGACCGAAAAGATGCAGAAAAACATCAGAAAAGTTCAAAATATTCTTTTCTAAATTTTCAGTGTTTTCTTGTCAAAACTGGTTCGTATCTCCTGACTTGCATATAGATGTTAATTAACCATGTAACATTTTTCGGGTTTTGTATTTTGAGTCTACTATGTATAAAAGAGTTATAGGTTGCATCACAACCATCTATTGATACATAACGCATAATTTTTATGCTTTTGTAAAATGTGAATATGTATTCTTCTAGAGTACTTGTCAAATCATCTCTTCAGACATGAGCGACATCTATAAGTAAACCGTCAAAAATTCTCTCTTTTTGTGTTATAATCGTAGTGCTAACTTAGTTGTATGGTTGTTTGAATATTAGTTTAAATTATATCTGTTCAATTCATTTTATTGGTATCTGTAATGTATCTCACGATGGTATTATTTTCTTGTTATGTTGGATTTTATTTCCCAAGACAACAATAATGTAACATCATTACATAGTGGTTGAGTGACTCATATTTTTTTTTTGTTACTACAAAGTTATATATACTTCAATGTTTCATTTTGTCATTTCATTCTTTAGCTGTTACATTGATTAATTATTGTAATTTTTGTTTCTTTTATATGTAAGTATTATTATTAATTTGCTAGTTTCATTGGTTATTTTTTTTGCACATTTGTTTTGCTTATTATGTTTAATCAAGTTTTGCTTTTTAATCATGTAATTCGTTGCTAATTCTTATAATCATACTAATTTTGTTCCTATATCAGAATATGATTCATCATTTAATAGGCAAAATGAGGTTTGCTTTTCGATATTTAAAGTTTAGATTTATTTAATTATTATTGATTTGTAGAGTATGATGCATAAAGTGAAAGACGCTGTTTCGAAATTTTTTCAACCATCGTTCTTATTCACAGCTAGTAATGAAACAGATAGTCCTGTAAGTTAAAGAAAATTTTCACAATAGTTTTTTTTGTTTATTCATTAGCAAGATTATTTTAGAAACGAAAACGATCAATTTCTATAGAAGAAACTAATGATAAACAACAAATTGAGACAACTAGAAATATTACAACAAATAGTCAAATTACATCATCAAAATCAAAATGTAAGAGAATTTAAACATATAAAAATCATTTTTATTAATAATATAATTGAAATCTTTTGTTTTTTACAAATTCATTTAGATCTTCATCAACCAATCAGAGATGATGAATCACAATTGACAGATGATGAAGATAATAATAATCAAGATGTATCATCAACTGGACAAGATTTAAAAGAAATTGAACAACAAAAAAAAAGACGTCGTACAACTACTTATCAACTGATTGATACGACAAATGGTCATCATGAAAATGAAAAAACATCTTTATATCCAAGTATAATCTTTAATTCATTTTATCAATCGTTATTATTTATTTTGAATAGATTCGACAGATACCAAAAGCTCATTATCAAATCATCGATTTCATCATACAACCGCTGGTGAACAAAATTCGAATGAAAGAATAAATCGAATAATATCATCTACACAACGTTTTAATATCACATCAACATCAAATTATGATCCATCAAAATCACCTCTTTTTTCTATCGATAATAGAGTAAGTAAATTTGATTTTTTTCTTATAGGGAATCTTTCATTTTATCACATTTTAGAGAATTATAGTTTTTTAGTTTATCGATAGATATATGCATAGTTCCTACAGATGAGGAAAAGAAATTTTTTCTAATTGATCATCAATGTTAGATAAATTCGAAGTTTTCTTTCAAATGAAAGTAGCTTAAAACTATATAGCTAGAAAATATTTAGATCGTATCAGAAGTAATGGCGGAAGTACTTTACATCTTTATAAGAAAATTTTTTTTCTATATCGACTGATATTAAAAACAACGATCTATCTATCTGTGCAATTACATCATTCTTCAGCTAGTATCATAATAATCAAATTTCGATAAGAATTATTTTTTATGATATGTGATGATAACATCAGATCATATTTGCCTTCGCTGTATGCTCTTTGTTTTTCCCCCGTTTCCTCTCTATGATACCTACTCATTTTTAATAAAATACCATATATTTATAAAGATATGTACAATTGTTTTGAATCAGAAGGCATGACAATAATTCTACATTCACTTAATTCTTCGAATCTACCACCAATGGAACTTTATCAACTGTTAAAATAAAAAAAATGTTGAAGATTTGATGAACAGGTTTCTGTTTGTTTTTTCAGCATGATTTTTTGTGTAATCTCATATCTACATATATATGGTTAAGCATTAAAAGAGACGAGAAAAAACAATATGATTCAATGTTATCGTCACATATCATAACAAATAACTATCAGTTCATACAAAAAGAAAGTTTCTTATAATGAATTAAAGAACCCCACCAGTGTTTTTGGTACCACTTAAGTATGTTGATAAGAAAAACTTGTCCGTGTAAAAGTCATATTTTGGAGCTTGACTCCTGAACAGTAAGGTGTCGAAGCATGAATTTTTTTCTACTAATGTACTTCTTAATAATGAAAGCCAATATGTTATTGTATAGAAATCAACTGAAACAACAACAACAACAAATCTTAAATCAAATGAATTTTCAGCAAATTATTTACTAGCAAGTGGTTTAACTGATCGATCTCAATTATCTACGTCAAATAGTCAACAATCATCAGCAACATTAACACATCCTGTAAATAATAAAAATCAATTAGTAAAAAAAAAAAAATTTTTATTTCAAATATATATTTTTTTTATTTTCGAAATTTTAGTTATCAAATGAACGACGAATGTTTGGTGTTAATTATGCATCAATTAATTCACATCGTTTATCTTATATTGAAAGACTTCGTCGACGAACTTTACAAGATTGTATACGACTTAATCGTACACTTGATAATGAACCGTAACTATTCAAAATATTTCATATTCTCGTCAAATTATAATCATTCATTTCTTTTAAAGATTATCGATATCAACAATTGATGAACAAAAATCAAAAACTAATTCTTTAGAATTAAATCGAACAAAAGTACAAGAAAAAGAATGTGGTATTCAATGTAATGTAAGTTAATTATCTTTTAAAATTTAATAAAAACAAGTTTTTTTTTTTTTAAACATAGATTTCAATTGTTGAAAATACAAAAGAATCAAATAAAAAACTTCAACGTGCATTTCCACCAATTGATATTCAATATGAAGCATTATCAGTACCAACTACTGAAAAAATTCAATCATCTACTCAAACAGATTCATCAGTTCAAACAAATAGTTCAATAACAGTTGAAAAAATACAAACACCAGTGCCAATGATTCATATTACCAAACCTAAAGTAAGAAATAAAACACTATTGATAATCATTAAAATTTTATTTAAAGGTACTTGGTGATGTTACACCATTTTCATGGCCAGAATTTGCTCATGCTCAAGAACAGTATGCTAAAAAATATCCAGAAAAATGTATTGATACAAGTATGTCATTTCTTTCTAAAAGTTTTCATTTGATTTATCTTCTTTTCTTTAGTACTTTCTAAATCAGTCACTTCTACTATCGAAAAATCAATTAATAATACAAATTCAACAGTATGTCAACAAACAAATACAAGTACTAATAAAATGTTTAAAATGTCAACACCCCCTTTATCATCATTACATCCTGTTCAATCAATTTGGAAATGTCCTTCATGTACGAAAGAACATCCAGCACAAACAGCATCATGTTCACTTTGTCATGGTATTAATCGGAATTATAAAAAACCAAGTGGTCAGTAATTTTAATTCAATATGAAATGATCATTATGCTTATTTTTCTTTTAATTTAGCGATTCAATCAACAATAACAGTTGCAAAAGAACCAACTATATCTACTCCTGCTGCTGCTATTATTAATCAAACAGTAAATAGAGAAAATCCAGTTATCATTTCTGCTCCAATAACTACTACTCCGCAATTTGGTATAATAACAACTAAAGAAAATCCAGTGGTCACTGCTGCTTCATCTACCACTGCTTCACAATTTGGTATAACAACAATTAAAGAAAATCCATTGGTTACTGCCACTTCAACTACCACTACTCCGCAATTCAGTGCAGTAACAACTAAAGAAAATTCAATTATCATTTCTGCTCCAATAACTACTACTTCGCAATTTGGTATCATAACAACTAAAGAAAACCCAGCGGTCACTACTGCTTCAACTGTCTTTACTCCACAATTCGGTGTAGTAACAACTAAAGAAAGTCCAATGGTCACTACTGCTCCAATAACTACTACTTCGCAATTTGGTATAATGACAACTAAAGAAAACCCAGTGGTCACTACTGCTTCAACTGCCTTTACTCCACAATTCGGTGTAGTAACAACTAAAGAAAGTTCAATAGTCACTACTGCTCCAATAACTGCGACTCTACAATTTGGTACAACCACAACTAAGGAAAATCCATTGGTCACTGCTTCTTCATCTACCACTGCTTCACAATTTGGCATAACAGCAACTAAAGAAAATCCAGTGATTACTCCTGCTCCAATATCTACTACTCTACAATTTGGTACAACTACAAGCCATGAAAATCCTATACCAAGCAATGCTTTTCGTTCTCAATTTGGCATAATGTCAGGTGTATCACCAGTAGTAGTTACTACGGAAAATCCAGCGCCTAATAGCACACTACCCATATTTGGTACAACAACAGCACCAACTAAAGACAGTTTTTCAACTACTAATACTGCACCTTCATTCGGTACAATATCATTCGATAAACCATTAACTACTAGTACAAGTAATCTTTTTCAATTTGGTACAACATCGCAGCCTTTTTCTTCAGTATCATCAACAAGTTTTACTACAGCAACTACAAGTTCTACTGTTCCTTCAGTTGCTGCAATGATATCAAACATACCAATGTCATCATCATCATCATCATCGAAACGACCACTTTTTGGACCATTTGATAGTACTTCAACGATAGCAACAACAACAACAGCTGCTCCTGTTTCATCCCATCAATCAGCTCCAGTTACCATGGAACCCACTATGTCAAATTCATTTGCAGCAACAAATTCAACTTTATTTGGTTCTTCAACAATACCACCAGTTCCTACTACGACAAATTCGTTTTCGGCACCGTCAACAACAAGTAGTTTTTCTATGCCGAACAATTTTATATCTACAAGTACAGCATCAACTCCATTTCAATTCGCTAGAGGTGGTTTTAATTTTGTACCTCCTTCTACAACAGCAACAACACAAAATAACCCTCAATTTGGATTTGCTTCTGCTGCTGATGCTGCTAGTTCTTCAAAATTCTTTGCACCGGCAAGTACTATTTCATCAGTTAATTCAAACACTGTACCAATGTTTGGGCCAACTTCTGTATTTGGAATAACTCCAACATCAGTTGATAAATCTGCAAATTCAACAAATAATTCATCATTTGCATTTGGTTTTGGATCTGCACCAAATACAACAACATCAGCCGTTCCTACTGGTGGTTTTTCATTTGTACCTCAATCATCATCAACAATACCAACATTTGGTGCTGTTCCATCTGCATTACCATCCAGTACACCGTCGAATTCATTTAACTTTGGTGCAACATCGACTGGTTCTACAAATCCTCCTCTGTTTCAAGCTGCTGGAGCAACATCTACACCATCTTTATCTGGTTCTATAGTTGACCCTCCAAAGTAAAGAACTAATCATCTTACAAAGAAAAGTCCTTCAGCTAATTAATCATTTTTGAGGTGGACTATAGGCATTATGTAGATTCAAATGAACTATGAATGCCCTAAGAAGAGCTTCTACCTTTAGTTAATCGTTACTAAGTTATTCCATTTTTATGCTATTTTTCCAGTCAATGCTATGGTCCCCAACAAGTACACTAGGAAAACTCATTTTCATTGTTCCAATAAACTAATGAAGGAACTAATCAAATTAATACCCATTGTTGGAACTTATATTCAGTTTACAAGCATATCCTAGTAAGACTAGCAAAAATCTAAAAAGGTTTATTTTCATGAAGCATTGAAGCCGAGTTATGATCGTTTTAGTGAACTTTCAACTCAGCTTTAGTTATCCAATGGAAAATCATATAAGGAAAGTTCCATCTGAAATTTTGTTCATAAGTAGTTTGAATAATGCTTAGAATATTCTTAAATTTTTTAGCTGAAAAGAAGATTCTTTTCGTAAGATATCGAGTTTACTGAAAAATTCAACATTTCAACAAAAGAGCCCTCTTTTTGATCTTTTAGTAAATACTTAAAAATAAGTCAAAAACTCAATAAAACAACCATAACTCGACTCCATAGGCTCATGGAGACGAACCTTATTAGATTTTTGCTAGTTCCACCAAGACGTTGTTGTACGTCCAATATGAATTGAAACGACCAGGTATCAGCTTGGGTATGGCTTTCTCATAAGATTCGTCTGTATACAAACTTTCCAGTCAAAATTTGAAAATAAGTTTTCCTTGTCTTCCTTAAGCGAACCACATCATTAACTAAGAAAATACAGTTAAAATGTAGCAATAAGCTAAGAGTCCGAACGATTTTCAGGGTATTCATAATTCATCAATGTCTGTCGGATACACATAGCCCAGAATCCAAACTAGTGCTCTATACGAGTATGATCTATAGGAATCGGATCTGGCTAGTTGTACCCAGTACCCAACTGAAGCTAATCGACATTAGGGAAGTGCCGTCATTGTCACAGTACGGTTTTCAAATGTCGAGATCTCATTAATAGTCAGACCGGGTGCCCGACGAGGTTGTCAAACACCTCTCCGTGGCAATTAATCAATTGAGGAACTTTTCTTGTAACCTCATAAAAACTTCTTTCTATCATATCTTAATTGTTGTTTTGTTTTTTCTATTTTAGTCCTTTCAATATTGGAAGTAATGATTCATCGAAGAGTCCACGTCCAGTTCTCAGAGCAAAGCGTCGACAGAAAAACTAAAAACAAGAAATTAAATCTTTTAAACAATATTATTGATTATCATAGTTTTTCTTCTTTTTTTGTGTGTGCGTGTGTTTTTTGTTTTGTTCTTTATGTCTCTCAATTGTACCGTTGTTTGAAAAGAACAGCATGTAATAGTCTTTTTCTTTTTTCTTTGTCTTTTTTTTTATTTTACGAAAGTAATGAAAAGAACAGAAAAACAAGAAATCAATAAATAACATCAAAGTTATAATTATACAATTATCTTGTAGATTATTTAATAATGGTTAAAGTACGAAAAACTTCAAAAAAACCACCACCTGATGGATGGTAAGCGTTTATTTTAATATAATTAATGTTTTTTTTTTATGTATTTGAAAAATATTATTTTAGGGATTTAATTGAACCAACATTAGATGAATTAGAAGCGAAAATGCGTGAAGCTGAATTAGCGCCACATGAAGGTAAACGTAAAGTTGAAACATTATGGCCTATATTTAAAATTCATCATCAAAAATCACGTTATGTCTATGATCTTTATTATAAACGTAAGACAATAAGTAAAGAATTATATGATTATTGTTTAAAACACTCAATTGGTGATAAAAATTTAATTGGTAAGATGATGATGTATTAATTTATCAGAGAGAAATTGTTTTTCTTTTTGTGTTTTTAGCACAATGGAAAAAACAAGGTTATGAAAATCTTTGTTGTCTTCGATGTATTCAACCACGTGATACAAATTTTAATAAAAAATGTATTTGTCGTGTACCAAAAGAAAAATTAGAAGAAGGCAAAGTTGTTGAATGTGTTCATTGTGGATGTCGTGGATGTTCTGGTTAATA